CTGCCACTGACGGGCTAGCAGGCTGTGCGTATTACAGGACATGATAAGTAGCAAACAGTATCTGTATTGACATGGTTTCTGGTCATAAGCTGAAAAGAAACTCTTTTGAGTGTCCATGTGTCAGTTTCCTGGGAAAATCCCAGTTTGCTATGTTTGGACTATTAGTAACCATGTCACTGTATTCCTGTGATTATGTGAATCAAACGTGTTACTGTAGATTATAATGATTACGTCTCAGACACAGGACTCTTGATCCGTGATGACCTGTTCTTGCCCCGACTTTTGAGAAATGTAAAGACTGTTCTACTAGATATCAAGGCCTTCCTTTCATCTTAAGAAATAGATAGTAATAACTAGGAAATCGGGCTCTGTTAGCTGTGTGGTTTGCACAAGTTGCTTTATCTCCAGTTCTGTTTCCTTCTGCATTGCAATAATAAACTGTCTTACAGGGTTGTGAGGATGGAATGAGACAGCTCAGAACAGCTCTTGGCACCAAGTAAGGACTTCATTACACATACACTGTCCTTATGTTGGTTTTCAGAAAGAGTTTCACTCTGCAAGCACATGCTAATATTCAGAATCCTGCAGGCCTACTTCAGGATAACCTGACAAACTAGTATTGTTTGGGTTGAGCCTCCAATGAGCCGACAGCAGCAAATAATGAGTAGGCATTCCTTGGCCTTTACTTTGACTTTGACCATGAATGTCTGGTTAAACTTCTGCTGCAAGACTTGCTGATTATCCCCACCATGACCTAAGGGACAGATGTGTGGCACAGCAGATACTGCTTCCGACACCATTGTCCCATGTTGGAATGTCTGGGTCAAGTCCCAGCTCCCCAGCTTCTGCTCCAGCTTCTTGAATGCACATCACCTCCATGGATGCCCGGATGGAGTGATGGGCACATGGCTTGGCCTGGTGCAGCCCCAGCTATTGTGAGAAAATAAGGAGATAGAAATCTTTGTTTCTTTGTAAACACCCATAGCTGAAACACAGACTTTAACTAGCTAAGAATGCTTGCCAGAATTTGTCTGTGAGGTGGCTTTTTCAAAGCCTGTAATTTGAATCTTCAGGTAGGAGTATGGGCATGTACAAGAGGGTCTTCAGAAAACTCATCAAAAGTGTGGTGTATATGGAAAAAAATTTTTGCAACATAATAAAACTTCTAGGAAACCAATTTTAATTAGTGATTATAAAGTATATCAGAGTCAACCACAATAAGTCCTTAGTCCTTGCTAATTTCTATATATATGTCTTCAGGTCTGGCTTTTGGGGGCTGGGGGTATGTAAAAAACAGTTTGGGGCATTAAGGAAAAGATTATTTGAAAAGCATATAACAGAGATCTTCCATCTGCTGGCTCACCCCCAAAAGGCCATAACAGTCAAGGCTAGATAGGCTGAATCCAGGAAGCAGAACTGCCATCTGGGTCTGCCGCAGGGTGTGGAGGGCCCAGTTCCTTGGGCCGCCATCCTCAGCTTTCTCAGCTACATTAGCGGGGAGCTGTGTTAGAAATGGGGCAGTCAAGACTCAAACCAGCACTCTGCTGTGCCAAGATTGCAACCAGTAGTTTAATGAGCTGCACCACAATGCTGGCCTTGGTTTTTTTTCTTAAAGTACAACACTGTACCTACTGTCTTAAAGCATTAATGTTAGAATTGATAAACTTTGTCCACACTATCACTGTTTTTTAATTCATGTATTTTGCAGACCTAGTTTTACCTTAGTACAAAACAGTATGCAGAGATGGAAATGGTAAAGAAACTACTCTTAACACACTGAAACTAATTTTTTTTTAATGTATTTATTTTTATTGGAAGAGAAGGAGAAACATAGAGAAAGATTTTCCCATCCGATGGTTTAGTCCCCAAGCAGCTGCAACAGCTGGAGCCTCTTCTGGGTCTCCCACTTGGGTGCAGAGTCCCAAGGGTTTGGGCCGTCCATGACTGCATTCCCAGGTCACAAGCAGGGAGCTGGATGGGAAGCGGGGCCACGGGGACATGAACCAACACCCAACAGGGATTTTGGCAAGTGCAAGGTGAAGGTTTAGCCCTTGGATCATTGTGCCGGGCCCAATGATTTAGTTCTTAACAGTTTGGCAAGATAATAAAGTTCCTGATAGAAAATATTGCAGAGTGCATAGGAAAATGTATATATAAAATCTTGGATTGGCAGAGTTAAAACTGGGTATAAACTTTTTCTGTGAAGTTACTATTTATTATTTAAAAATTTAACAACATCTTATTGAGTACATCATTAAATTTCCTTCAGAGCATATCTGTCCTGTAAAAATACTGATGGTAAGGGGCCAGAGTGGTGGTGTAACAGTAAATCCTAAACCTGTGGTGCCCACAGACTACATGGATGCATTGCTGTGGGACCTAGACCCTGTAGTCTAACAGCAATAATTCTGTCAGTACTGAGGCAATTCTAATGTAGCTGAAAATAAAATTGTACACAGGTGACATTATTGCATTTGCATGTAGCCTCAGCCTGTAATTTATCTGACTTCTCTGTTTATGGTACTGGAAATCCTGTGCCGCTTTTAATAGCTTACCTTAGGTCTTAATGTACTGAGGTTGAATTGCTCCAGATACTTGAGATTTTTGTAGTAAATTTCAGTTAGTGTAGCAGTTTACATTCTGTATTAAAAACTAGGCACATGAATTGATTAAATGCAAAAACTGGAGTATTGCTCTTGTCATGATACAGCTGCTAGAAGCACATACCGAGCACCCTGCCTGCTGCTTGGAACATCGCTCCAGCAACTGCCTTCCAGCCTGTGGAGCATTTGGAGGGAGGAGACATTTTGAAGGGAAGAAAATCAACTTCATTCATGGGATGTAATAATTAAATGAAATAACATCCTTAGAATTAAGTTGGTAACATTCCTTAGCATAATGATGAATGCTCAACAAATCATTATAGCTGCTTCCAATATTTAACAAGACTGAGTTCAGTGCCATGGAAGATCAGCAGAATATGTAATACAGAAGGAGCACTGTGGAAAAACTCACTCTGGAATACAAGAACAAATCCTATAAATGTTTGTTTTTCATTTGAAATGCAGATTTACAGGGAGAGAAGGGGGTGCATAGGTGTCTTCCATCTTCTGGTTCACTCCCTAGACGGCTGAATCTGCAGGCCCAAGCAGGAGCCACAAGCCTCCCAAGTGGGTGCAGGGACCCAGGGACTTTGGCCATCCTCCTCTACCTTTCCAGGCCATTAGCACGGAGCTGAATCAGAAATGAGGCGCCCAGGACCCAAATCAGTGCCCAGGTGGGATGCTGGCATCACAGGCTGAGGCCCAAAGTGCTACACCACGCACCTGCTCCAAAATGACTGCTTGTATGCTGTGAGATATCAGTTTCCTTATTATATAAAATTTGGATATTATTTAGCCTGTTTATAAACTCTTGGGTTACACTAGGTACCTAGTACCAGGTAGTGTTTGGCACAGAGCAGCTTTGATGAACAGCAGCCATTGAAGTCGTAGCTTGGGCCAGCGTTGAAGTACAGTGGGCAAAGCCATCCCCTGTGACACTCACATTCCATATTGGTGCCAGTTCGAGTCCCTACAACATGACTTCTGACCCAGCTCCCTACTAATGTGCCTGGGAAAAGCAGGGGAGAACAGCCAGAGTGCCTTCAGATTCCTGCACCTGTGTGGGAGACCTTAAAAAGCTCCCTGGCTTCAGCCTGGTCCAGCCCTGGGTGAACCTTTTTGTGGTCATAGTGATGGAAGACTCTAGCTCTAATTCTTAATTAAATAAATATTTGAAGAAACAGTAGCTAATGACAGACCCAGGTTTTGCAGTGAGTCAGGAGGAGTTGGTGTTGCTAAGCAATTAAAAAAAACAACTTTGCTAAGACTTAGAACCACCTTTGTGACTGTTCTTGGAATGGTTCCCTATACATTCATCGTTGTGCTGCTACGTTGATGAGGAGGATGGCCAAAGTCCCTGGGTCCCTGCATGCACTTGGGAGGCTCGTGGCTCCTGCTTGGCCCAGCAGATGTAGCTTTGATGTTTGTTAGCATGTCCCTGTAAAATTTTGGTATTGTATCTTTGCATTTATTTAGTACTTGTTAAACTGGAAATAGACAAGGCTTGCTTTGGCATCCTGAAACAGTAGTTTATTATAACTGCTAGGATAAATTCCCATAGCTTTGAGTCAGTATGGCTCATGTAGGTGAGTATAGAGGATGAGGAAATATTGGCATCCAGGAAACAAGTGAAACCTCAGCCTGCAATAATTACTATTCTCTTTGTTTCATGAACATTTTCCAGTTATGTCCAACTTCATGTAGTTTCTCTACATTTAACCATGATTTCCATATTTAGACTACTTTTTTTTTTTAAGATTTATTTTAATTATTTTTTTTTATTGGAAAGGCGGATATACAGAGAGGAGAGACAGAGAGGAAGATCTTCCGTCCAATGATTCACTCCCCAAGTGAGTGCAACGGCCGATGCTATGCCGATCCGAAGCCAGGAGACTCTTCCGGGTCTCCCACACGCGTGCAGGGTCCCAAAGCTTTGGGCCATCCTTGACTGCCTTCCCGGGCCACAGGCAGGGAGCTGGAAGGGAAGCGGGGCTGCCCGGATAGAACCAGTGCCCATATGGGATCCTGGGCGTGCAAGGCGAGGACCTTAACCACTTGCTCCACTGCGCCGGGCCCTAGACTACTTTTGAATGGCTTAAAACAATTTTAGACATACAGATTGCTTTAGGCTTTAAACTAATTATAAAACTATCCTCTCTAATTTGATGCGTCAGAGAGGAAATGCCTGCTTTGGACAGGTTTAAAGCATGAGAATGGACTTCTTAAGAGAGTTCCTTATATCTGTAATGTAGTTACCTTTAAAAATGTGTTCATGTACTAGGCCAGTTTCTCAGTTTAAGTATGTGGCACTTTCTAATCCTGTGGCAAACAGGAAACTATCTTAGCAAAGCAGCCTAACTTACATGCTTTCTTTTCCTCCCATCCCCCACTTTTAAGTAGGATCAGTTCTGAACGTCGGAAAGAGAAGTCTAGAGATGCAGCCCGATCTCGGCGGAGCAAAGAGTCTGAAGTTTTCTATGAGCTTGCTCATCAGCTGCCACTCCCCCATAATGTGAGCTCGCATCTTGACAAGGCTTCTGTTATGAGGCTTACCATCAGCTATCTGCGTGTCAGGAAACTTCTGGATGCTGGTGAGTTATTTTATGAGGGTCTGAAAATTACAAATTAGAAGTAATTAGAAATTGCATTTAAAATATGATCATAAAGTGTTTGCTTCTTAAACCTTATCATGTTTAAAATGCTAGCAATTCTTACTGTTTTTCCAGGCTCCAGGGTTTTTTGTTTTCTTTTTTTTTTTCCTGGTAAAGGCAGATTTATCAAGAGAAGCAGACAGAAAAATTTTGCATCTACTGGTTCACTCCCCAAATGGCTGCAACAGCCAGAGCTGAGCTGATCCAAAGCTAGGAGCCAGGAGCTTCTTCCAGGGCTCCCATGTGGGTGCAGGGTTAAGGCTTTGGGCCACTCTCCATTGCTTTCCCAAGCCATTAAGCAGGAGCTGGATGGAAAGTGGAGCAGCTAGGACATGAACCAGCCTTGGCATTGCAAAATGGATATTAGCCAGTTGCACTATCTCACAGGCACCACCTCTTTTAATTTTATTTTTGATGTTTAATTTTTATTTTGATGTTTACATAGCCAAGAAGGGTATATGTCCATGTGGATAACTGGCCAGAGCAGGAAGGATTGAGGAACAGGGGAAAGTGGACAAGACCATTGTTTCCAATTTTCTTTTTCCTCTTCCTGCATCTGGGGGAAGGGAGCAGAGAAGAGGAGAAGCTGCACCCAGCATCCCAAGCGCATCAGTACCCAAAAATGGGGGACAGCCACCAGTGTCATCCCAGGGTCTCTGATGAGGAGCATGCTCTGAGGGTTCTGGTCAAGTGGTTTCAATGGTTCTGAAACGCCATTGATTTTGTTGCTCCATGGATGAGCAAATCCTTCCCAGGACTGTTGGTTGACATAGTTCATCTTAGAGTCTCCGCTCGCTCAGATACTTGCTTGAAGCCTGGTTGCGAGAGCTGTCCAATTTGTTCTGCCCTCCATCTACCGCTATGGTGTTAGATGTCCTCTGCAGGCCCCAGTGTACTGCCATATTCCCCATGTGATCTGGTATACAGTCCACTGCACCATCTTCCAACACGTGCACTCCATGGTTAGACCACTTATCCTGCAATTTTCCCCGTGGTCGGAGTCCAGCAATCCAGTTAGTGTCTGGGGGGTGGGGTGTATGTACGGGGTCCAGCTCAGTTCGTCACCCACATCATCCTACACACACACACTAAAGGCACTACTCTTAATGTCTTTGCTCCCTGTGTTACTTGAAAGGCATAGAATCTGAGACAGGGACACGAACACAGTTGATTCCCCAAATTCTGCAACAGCCAGGACAGGATGAAGCCCGTCTGGGACTCCCACGTGGGTAACTGGAATCCAGACTTGAGCCTTCACCTGCTGCCTTGCAGAGTGTACAACAGCAGGAAGCTGGACTGAAAGTGGAGCTGGGACTTGAACCAGACACTTGATGTCGGGGGCACTTGTTCCACCTCGTGACCACATGCCCACCACCATTGTACTTTTTGCTCTTCATAGTATTTTATCCTTTTAAACACTATTCTTTGTTTATGACATTGTTTATTGAAAGCTTTATACAGAAAGGTTTATGCTGGCTTTTTTCCCCCTTCCATTCCTCTTCCCTATCAGTTGCCTGCTTTCATTTTCATTTACCTTCCTCTTAAAACACAATCTTTCTTTGTCAATGTTCATCTTGCTTCATTATTTCAAATTGTTAAGAAAAGCAGCTGGCAGGTCTAATTAGTCTTCCTAGCCTCTGGCCCCCTTTTTGTTAACGGAAATGAAGAGAGAGAGGGTGGGGGAAACTAAATATAAAACAAATGATGCTGTCTACATTAAATAAAGGACCTGGGAAAAAATTTGGATAAAGTCTCTAACTTTTAAACTCCTTTCCTTGTGCCCTGCTCAGGTGATCTGGACGTTGAAGATGAGATGAAGGCACAGATGAACTGCTTTTATCTGAAAGCCCTGGATGGTTTCGTTATGGTTCTGACAGATGATGGTGACATGATTTACATTTCTGATAATGTGAACAAATACATGGGACTAACTCAGGTAAAATACCCATGACATAGTAAGAGCCCTTCTGTATGTTTTTATGATTTTATGATGTAGATCTAATTTTTCAAAATGTGTTTACAGTTTGAACTAACTGGACACAGTGTGTTTGATTTTACTCATCCGTGTGACCATGAGGAAATGAGAGAAATGCTTACACACAGAAATGGTGAGAAGAAAAGTCTATTGTTTGACTTAATATGGCAGGTGGTTTTACTTATTGAGATATTGTTAGTAATTTTTAAATTTTGTTTTTAATCTAAAGTAAAATGTGATTTCATGTTTAATAAACTGCTACCAATTCTTTGTTAATTGTCACTTTAGAAATTTCATAAAAATGAAGCCAAAGTAATTCTAAACAATTACACATATAGAGATAAAATGGGTCATATGACCCAAGTGATTTCTAACTTGAAAGACAGCTTTAAGGCAGAGAGAAAGTGATGCGCCAAACTGGTGCTGGTTCAAGTCCCAGCTGCTCCACGTCTGATGCAGTGTTTTCCTAGTGTACCTGGGAAAGCAACAGTCGATGGCCTAAGTGCTTGGGCCCCTGGCCCTGGCCTGGCCATTGAAAATGGACCAGCAGGTAGATGATCTCTTCCTAACTCTGCCTTTCAAATAAACAAAGAAAAATGACAAGGATGAATCAATTTCAAGTGGAGGTGCCAGTTTGGGTCCCAACTTTCTCAGTGTCCAGGGAACCTGACGAGTTTGAATAGCATAACTGCTGGCTTGTCTTTTCAGGATGTTCCCAAGGATTTGATCCTGTGTAGTTAGATTGCAAAGTGTTACATTATAGATGCCCACATATTAACACAAAAAGAAGCAAGGTTTCTAACTTAGGAACAAATTGTTAAAAATAACCAAATGTTTCAAGAGTTTTTGGAAAATACCTCTTGAATTAACCAAAACCCATCGCTTCTTGGCCTTTTGGCTAAGATCAAGTGTAGTATCTGTTCTTATCAGAATTAACCGAAACCTAACAAAGTTTCCCCATATTTTGTGCTGTCTTAAGAATATACCAACTGTAATTGACTCTCTGCTGACTAAAAGTTATGACCATAAAAATTTGCTTTTGCACTCTGTGGGAGTTCTTTGCTGCTCTTCAAATTAAGTGATATTTGCTTTCTCCTGTTAAAAAACTCAATTTATAGTACCTTTTTGAATAATGTTTAAAGTCTTTTATCTCTATAATAATTTCAGTTAGTCTTTACTGAGAGAATATTCCCCCCAGGCTCTGGTTCTCTGTGTTTTACCTGCACTAAATCCTTTATGCTTCTCTGCTATCCTGTGAAGTTTCTGTTGACAAGGAAAACAAGGCACAATTACCAAATAATTGGCCAGCCAGTTATTTGGTTAGTAAAGATGTATTTGCACAAATAGCACTATTTTTCTTGCACTTAGATTCTGAAAGAATGCGTTAGGATTAATAAATCACAAACTATGACTTATTTTAAGAGCTGAAAATTTAGCATTCATAAAATATTTTTTGTTAGGAAAATGAATATTGTTCAGTTACTTTGGTCATTGAATGTATCTGCACACTCCCATTCAATGGCCTTGTGTTTTCAAAAGTCAGTTTCATTCAAGTTTAGGATATAAAGGGCTGAAAATGTCTTAGAATATGCCTGTGGCTCTCTGCCACCTCCACCTCAACTGTCACAGCTGGCACTCCTCCCCAGATGTGCAGGTACACTTTCACCTAAACCAATAGGCTTCTTATGGCATGTTTTTAAGGAAGTACAAATCCAGTCCTTATTTAAATAAACCTGAAAAACTTGGCATTAGCACCAGGACTGTGTTAACTCTCCATTCCCATTAAATGTTAAGAATCCAGTATTTCCACTTGATTGTTTTCAAATGAAAATTAAGATCAAAATTAATCCCTGTTTTTCCCCTGCATAGCAGAGTTTCTTTCAGTATGCTATCCTAAAATTTTCAAATCTTTAAAGAGATTTCTCTCCTCATTTGTTTCCGATAGTTTTTAAGTTGCACAGTTTCTGCCTCTTCGCTTGGCTGTCAGCTCCCTTCCTTTTTGCCACCCACTGGTGCTGGGTCACCCCTTGCTACACCTGACACGTTATACTGCTGCTAAGCTCACTGTCCCTGTGCTCCTGACTGCTTTCCATCACAGAATTTCTTCCAGTGACCATATTTCATGGTCAAAAGAAGAAATTGAATTCAGTTGGATATTTAAGATCCTCCGTAGTCACCGTCCACACCTTCCCTTCTCCATTTACCTTACCACAGATAAATAATGTCGACTATTTTTTCCTGCCTCTATGTAAGTCGTAAGCACTCACCCTGTACTGTTTGCTTTGTTGACTTCACTGCATTCTTATCTTCTTCAGGAAAGGCAATTTGTCTTAACTCCTCTGTGTAGCATCCGCAAAACATAATCTAACTTTTGATGAAGCTAATTAAGATCAAGGTGCTTTTTATTTTAGTCAGTAGAGTATAATCTCATTTTTTAGTTTTGAAAGCTTTGGAATGGAAATTAAAAGGCTTGAATTTATTGAATTCTGACTTTTTTTTCCTATAGCCTTTGACAAATTCATTCAGTCTGGTTTGTGTGATTTTTGTTTTTCTGATTTTTTTTTTAATTTTGAAAAAACTTCCTGCCTTCTTTACAGAATGATTTAAAGGGGAAAATATAGCAATGTTGACATTAAAAAGGAGGTTGCCATTTTCAAAATTCTATAAATACCTAGAGTACATATTAATAATTGAACTAACATATTTAATAATAGAAGAGCTTACTGAAAGTTCCTATTTTGGGACATCCTTGTGCACTGTGTTCATGCTGAGACTTTCAGTTGAGCAGCATCTAGATGCTGGACACTTCCCTATCTCAGTGCAATAAATCTGCACATTTCGTTACCTTGTGGAACTTTATGTCATGTTTTCATTAGGTCCTGTTAAAAAGGGCAAAGAGCAAAACACACAGCGAAGCTTCTTCCTCAGGATGAAGTGTACACTAACCAGCCGGGGGAGGACCATGAACATAAAATCTGCAACGTGGAAGGTAAGGAGAAATGAGGTATGAGGTGCGAGTTCTAGCATGCTGGATCTGTGGGAACTCAGACATGTACAGCAAGATCACTTGGGAAATGTGTGGTGGGATTTACCATCGTTCCTGATTGCTGGCAGATTTAACATCTGCAGTTTCATCTAGCTCCAAGCTTAAACAGCGTACTAGTTTGCCACTCCGAGTCCCAAGCTTATGGAGTGTGAATTGTGACCTTGGTATAAACCAACCTAACACACTCATTTGACTGCCTGCTGCCTAGTGTTGGGCTCCTGAAAGTTTTCTACCAAGAGGTGTGTCTTTTTTGTTGTTGCTGTTGCTTAGTGTTGAAACTATCATCAAAGCTAGAAATAATCATCTAAGAAGAACAGATGAAAAAGCACCCCAGATGTATACTCTGGGGTGGTGTTGTGGAGAACTCATTTATGTATCTGAAGAAAACATGCTCAATCCACTAATGACTTCTATTTCAAAGTTTATTTGCCAAGTCACACTCAGCTGCTTGACTCTAGTTTTTTTTCCCCCAGCATTGAAAATGGAAATGAATGCTTTGTTTTCTTCTTCATCCATAGGTGCTTCACTGTACAGGCCATATTCACGTGTATGACACCAACAGTAACCAGTCCCAGTGTGGTTACAAGAAACCGCCCATGACGTGCTTGGTGCTGATTTGTGAACCCATTCCTCATCCATCAAATATTGAAATTCCTTTAGATAGCAAGACATTTCTCAGTCGACACAGCCTGGATATGAAGTTTTCTTATTGTGATGAAAGGTAAATTAGATATAAAATCATATGTGAAAGCCTTATTCTTCACTAATGTTCACGATAGCAAAGATTCCATGATAGGTTGTATGTTCTCATGATATACCCAGAACCAAGTAGATTAATTGTACATAAACAGCCATACGTATTAATACTTTCTGTGTACTCTGAATGCTTGCTTCAGTAGGTGCTGCCCAGAAATTAAGCTGAAATCTTTGTCTTTCAGGAGCTTTATTCAAGTAGAGAATGTAAACATACTTCAGGGACATACAGAACTGGTTTTGAGGAAAGACAGGTTACTTTTGGTTATAAACTAGTAAGCAGAGTCTTGTTCACCTTCTCCTCCTACATATTTTCTCTGAGAAACTTCCAACTCTGCCCATGGTTTCCACTCCAGCTCCTAAACTTACCTTTTGTAATACATCGAGTTCCTTGCCAGCATGGTATACCTGATGCATTCCCAAAACACAAATTTATGATTTCTGTAACTGAGCTACACCACTGCTGCCTTCAAAATGCCCTAATAAACTGCTTTTGCTCCTGAACGTCTGTGGTGGTTAGAACGCCACAGGCTGGACTGACAAAACGTGGGATGCGATTCCTAGCAGTTCTTGTCTTCATTGTCTACTCTAGATACACCTCTTAGTCCTTCCTTCTCATCCTCCCAGTTGACACTGGATTCTTCATTATTACTTTTGCTGGAACTGTTGTCACCTGTCATGAACTGCTTTATTCCAACATATTTATGCCCTTTAAATCTTTCATCACATTGCCAGGAAATGTGTTTCTTAATGGGAAAATCAGCATTGCCATTCTATTGAAAATGGCTGTTGTTTCCTTCATCTGTACACAGGAAACTTGTGTATGTATGATTTCTGTTTATTAGATAAAGATGTGCATTTTTAAAGGCTGCAAGAAAAATAGACCTACATGATAAAATCTGAGTTCTTGGCAGAACAAAGATATTAGGTCTGGCCCTGCCATTTTCAGCTGAACCAAGTTGGCGGGGCGGGGGTGGGTACAGCTGGCACTAGCCAGGGGCCTCCCTGCTGTTTTAATACACTGGTGTCTTCTTACACACTTTCCTGTTCCACAACTTCCCTCTCTAACACCTACTCTCTACTCCTTTGTGAAGCTTTCCCTGCTCCTTGTACACACCTGTTACAGCATTTGTCGCATCATTGCATTGCTTTGGGTTTTGTTTTGTTTTTTGGCCTTATAAAGTTGAATAATGTAGTGGATAAAGTCATGTTTTGCATAGCCAGGCCACTAAATCCTTATTCTGCAATGTATATCCAGATTGTCTTGGGCATGTTTTTTCTTCTCTTAAGCATCACTTTCTTCATCTTTCCTAATGTCATAAGGTTTACCTGACAACTATATGGGTAAACCAGTTTTAAGCACTCAGTCAGACATGTGTTCCCTGACCCCACTGAACAAGGGAATAGCTCAAAGCACTGACTTTGATCACACAATCTTGATTCATTCTTAGCTTGTAGTCTAGTATAATATAATGTAGTGTCGACAGTTTTTGTAAGTTCACATCAGGATAAAAGGAGTCTGTTGAATCCCTGCTACATATGGTGAATGATTCACTACCAGTGTCAACTTGGAGGAAATATAGAAAAGCTAAGAATTCTCTAATGATATCCACTGCCAGGATTCTTGAGTACATGGGACAGAGGCCACCATCCTATTTGAAGGAATTACTTCTCATTTTTCAAAAACTTGACTATGCTTTCCATCACAGAATTTTGAAATATTTTGAGGAGAAAGGAAAATGATGGACCAAATATGAGGGGGGGGGAGAGGCATTTCCTTCTGCATCAGCAGAAAATTAGTAAATTGATCATGACAGGAAAAAGACAAAGCAGCCTGGAGAGCAACTAAGAAAAGGTTTAAAGCAATAAACTTACTTTCTAGAGTTAGTTCCAGTGTTCTGTCCGATCTCTAAGACCTGAGAACAAAGATGGAAAAATTTGGTCCAGTGTTAAGAACATTTAGCCTGTCAAGCTTCTAAACGGCCACATTATTACAAAAAGAAGCAGACTTCTGGGAACAGCACTTGGGAAACTGCTTGTGGCACTGGAATTCCTCATCAGGGTGCCCAGTTTTGAGTCCCAGCCTCACCTCCCATGCCAGCTGCCTGGTAATGTGCTCTGGGAGGAAGTGGATGGTGCCTCAGTGGTTAGGTCCCTGCCACCCCCATGGGAGACCCAGGTGCGATTCCCAGCCCCAAACTTTGGCTTGAGCCAGCTCCTGTGGGTATTTGGGAAGTGAACAGCAGATGGGAGATGGATCGTTCTTTTGTTTCTGGTTACATGCTCACAGCAATAAACTAAAAACAAAGAATTAATGAACTAATGGAACCCTGCTTGGTCACTGCAACTTTACTTCCAATAAACATAAAATTGACTCTCCTCAAAAATATACATTACTTACTTATGTTTTGACTTCTTGGCCTCCATTATTAATAGATATATCTCAGTGACAATTATTTCTCCACTGTCCCTGCCAACCACATCATAATCTTTACATATACTGGGTGTTCTTGGCGTTCTTCCTGAAACAGTTTTGCTGTCTCTGAATATCTTCTATATGTGACTTGTAAGTCTCTTACAAGAAACTTTCTCACCCTCATCTGTGCCTTCTCATTGATACAGGCGATTCCTCTTTTTCATAGAATCTAGTCTCATCACTGCTTATACCACATTATCTAATTAAGTATTAAGTGTAACCATATAAGGAAAGCCTTATATTGCTTAGTCATATCTTTGCACTTACATGTCTAGGACAATAGCAGACCACTAGTTCTATACTGTGCATTTATATAAAGCAAATTTTCTTATATTTTATTATTTTGATTGGCAAACACTGATTAAAATGTGATGTTTCAATACATGTATATAATACTTAAACAGCAAGACCGGGCAATTAACACATCCATCGTCTCATTTATCAATTTTTTTTGGCATTGATAACATTTAAAATCCTTTCATCTCGCTGTTTCGAAATATGCAATAGGTGCCAAGTAGTCAGCATAGCCTAGTTTAAAAAAAATTCATTTTCAAATATTTTCCTTTATGACACTGCCACCTAGTGTTGGTATGTTTAGTAACATGTTTTAAGAAGTGAAGACTTATTTGATCAGATTTTTTCAGATTTATTTAGGAATAAATTACAGCTGATTTTTTTTTTACATGAAACACAGTATGTAACTTTTGCCAGCATCTTATTAAGAAATTCTTTCGTAATCTAAAAGCTTACTAAGTCACACTGCATTTCCAAGACAGACACCAGCAGTCATTGTTAATGGTGCCAAGACGGCTTTCTCTCTGTCGTGAGGTGGGTTCCATTTCAGATGAAGGTCACAGAAAATGAGATCTTGTTTCTGTTCTCTAGGAGCTGCCAGGAAACCAGATGTGGTAGCTGGATTATTTTTCCAATTTAATTTCAGTTTGATACCATGATTTCATCTGAATTAACTTCCCATAATTTCACTGAATTCAGAAACTAAGAAGGAGAACAGCTTCTAAACCCATCACAGCAGTCATTCCTTAGTTAGTGTTCAGTGTGGACACTGGTTGACAGTGCTAATTTTGTGGCGCGTACTGTACGGATCTCTAAAAGTGGGACCTCATCTATGGGTTTAAAAATTGTTAAGGGGTTTGGCTTTATGGAAAAAATGTTACAGATCTGACTGATATTTTCAAAATGAGTACCAATTGTAAAACTAACTTTTAGTATTAAACTTGCACCCTGCCTTGTTAAAGTCTGTCCATTGAAATATGATCAATGTGATAGGTAATAAATTTGGGTGAAGGAGATAGCAAAGGGGAACCCAGAAGACTTAGGGGAATACGTGATGTTGCTAGTGGTGAGAAGAACTCACTTCTCTATAAGATTATTGTATGTCATTTACAGTGGAGAGGCTGAAAGCTTGTTATCACTTAGTCTTTCTCCTTTTTAAAAACTTAACAACAGAATTACTGAATTGATGGGATATGAGCCAGAAGAACTTTTGGGCCGCTCAATTTATGAATATTACCATGCTTTGGACTCTGATCATCTGACCAAAACTCATCATGATAGTAAGTATGATGGGAGAACTAACACATATTTCAGATTTTGAACAGCTCTTGCAATCCTTTAATTGCATGGTTAAAATTAACCAACTGGGCCAGCTCAGTGGCTCAGCAGGCTGATCTGCTGGCTGTAGCACTTGCATCCCATATGGGTGTCATTTTGAGTCCCATATACTCCACTTCCAGTTCAGCCCCTGCTTATGGCCTGGGAGAGCAGCAGAGGATGGCTCAAGTCCTCGGGGCCCTGGACCCACGTGGGGGACCTGGAAGAAGCTCCTGGCTTCATGTCAGTTCAACTCTGGCCTTTGTGGCCATTTGGGTAATAAGCAAGTAGATGAAAGAGCTTCTTGTTCTGTAAATCTGCCACTCAAGTAAAAATAATAATCTAAAAATTATCCAGTCTTCCTGCACTAAAAATGTTAAAAAAAACAATCCTGACCATTGCATCTGTTTTGCATTTGTATGAGTGCAATCATTTAATAACAATCTCTGGTGTTTGCTGTGGTTAAGATGCCACTCGGCCCATGTGCATCCTGCATCAGAATGCCTGGTTCCAGTCCCTGCTTCTGATCCGGCTTCCCACCAAAATTCACCCAGGGGAGCAGCAGTTAATGGCTTAAGTAACTGGGTCCCTGCCACCTATATGGGAGACCTGGATTGTGTTCCAGCACTTCTGGCTTTTTGCCTGCCCTAGACTTGGTTTGTTGCAGATACTTGGGGAGTGAATTAACAGAAGGGAACTCTGGCTCTTTGGCTCTGCCTTTTCAAATAAAAAAATAATTATCCTAGGCACTGGCATAATAGGATCATCCTCTGCCTTAAGTATCAGCTTTCCATTTGAACATTGATGCGAGTCCCAGCTGTTCCCTGTCCACTCCAGCTCCCTACTTATTATCCGATAAAGCAGTAGAGAACAACCCAAGTCCTTGGACTGCTGCGACTCTGTGGCAGAATGTCGGAGGCTCCTGCTTCCTGCCTGGGGGTCATCTTAGCTCTGGCCACTGAGGCTATTTGGGGAGTGAACAAGCGGACGCAAGATCTCTTCCCGCCGCCCCCCCCCGCCCCCGTCTTTTTAAATATGCCTTTCAGATAAAAATGAGTTTAAAAGAAGAAAACAGAAGCAGGCCCCAACACTCATAATATTTTTATTTATTCAGTGCATCTGTGAAGATATTGCTTTAAACAGTCTTAACAAGAGACTATGAAATTAAGTCCATATAGGCTAAGCACAGTCTTTTGAAGCATCTTTGAATATCTAGAAACCAGCAAGGATTAAAAAAAACTAGTAATGTCACATCATTTAGTATTTCCTGTAGAATGAAATGTTGGTCATTCTCTAGTTTGACACTTCGAAAATAAATCATTAAAATCACTGCTGTTCCTTGTCTTGGCTTCAGATTGGCAGGAAGAGTTATTTAGAGGCTCAAAAGGACATAGGTATATTTTGTTATTTCTATCAGTAGAAACAGTCACACTGATTCCAAGAAGGATAAACATTTTTCCTTTGTTAAAACTGATGAGTACATGCTAAATGCTGATCAGTTTTGATCCCAAGTTCAAATTTATTTTTCTCTATGTGACCCTTTTCTCCCTCTCACTCCTAGTGTTTACTAAAGGACAAGTGACCACAGGACAGTACAGGATGCTTGCCAAAAGAGGTGGATACGTCTGGGTTGAGACTCAAGCAACTGTCATATATAACACCAAGAACTCTCACCCACAATGCATTGTATGTGTCAATTACGTTGTGAGGTAAGCTTGGGAAATAAACATTTTGGGAGACCACAGAATAACTCTTTTTGGATAATCTGCCCCTTTATAGGAAGAGAAAAGACTAAATAGTAACTCAATTTTATTTTACCTTCACATTTTTAGGGCGTCTGATGTTTAGTACATCATAAGTTTTCAGGCCAAATATTCCATTCAGAGTTCACTATGTACTATCCGTAGTTTTCTAGCCACATTTTTTTCACTCCTGTTGAAAGACAAAAACGTATTTATGGATTTGTTTGCTCTAGTCAGAGAGTTCTCCTTACAATGCAGTTATGTCATCTTTGTAGTAGGAATAGTGGGGCTTGTGACCATAGCTCTGCCACTCCTGGCTCTAAGCTTAGGGAAGTCTCATTTATCTCAGTTTCATGTACACACATGAGATGGTAAGACGTTACTCAAAAGGTTATAAAGAATCCTGAATGAGAGTCTATGTAAGATTACAATGAAAGGTTGTATGCTGTAACACATGGCCTTTATTTATTCATGAACTCTTAGCTCATTGACTTGATTATGGGCATCTTAAATTCACCTTTATTTTCATGTAATGCAGTTGGCTCCTGCCCTGCCCTGTCTGCCTTCCCCATCACTACCTCAGCCTAGTCTGGTCCGTGTTGCTGCTGCGCTGGGCCTCCCAGCGGTGACAGTGCATCTGCTCATTTTTAAGCCACCTGTGTTGCTCCCAGGATTATGCTTTTGTAGATGGATCCACTGAAATCTGTGCTCGGCCCTCTTAGCCAGATTTGGGTCATTTATTTTGCTTTTGACAACATCCTTCAATACTGTAATATGAGTGCCAAAAAGTGACTTTGCCATTTTTAGGAATCTCCCATTTGGAACTTCTTTCTGTTCATCCGACCCCAGCATGTCTAACAAATGCTGTTTGAGCTCAGGCTGCAGCTTGTTAGCTTCTCTGTGCACACCTCCTCCATTTGACCAGTAAGCACAGGATATTGTAATGTTTGCATATATCCTTTCACAATGGATAATCAACGTCAGACGGCAAAGTTTGAATATTTTAATCAGTATATCCTTTGCTCATCCCACATAGTGAATGTTTTTACCACGTTAACTATGTTAAACACAAAAATGGAATTGTTGTCATATCCCTCTTCCACCCTGTCCTAAAGGTAACATCACCATTGTCCTTTTTCTGTCACTAAAGAAAATATGGCACCCATCTGAAAAACATCTTTGTGATTTTTGGGTGTTCTGGGAGCATCACGAGTTGATGCCTCATATTAGTACCAAAGAGTTCTCTGGTGCCAACTTCATTATGTAAGTCAGCAGAGAAATTCAGAAAAATCTCATGTCCTTCTTGTGTTTGCAGGTTTTTCTGTCATCACTCTTCAAAGGATATAAAGATCGTAGTTGAATTAGGACATCCAAAGATTGTGGTTGAATTTGATGAACTACTTGACTAGCTCACTGTAGCTCTTTATTTCATTGACGTTTTCAAAAGCAGATATGACAAACTATGCATGTGAAGTCGTACATTTCAAGGAATCACAAAAGTAGAATTTAAGAGTCAAAGTTCTTTAGGCCTCCCCCCCCTTGTTGTGAAGTGCTCATTTAAGAATTACTAATCTCTCTTTTGACAGTGGTATTATTCAGCACGACTTGATTTTCTCCCTTCAACAAACAGAATGTGTCCTCAAACCAGTTGAATCTTCAGATATGAAAATGACTCAGCTGTTCACCAAAGTGGAATCGGCAGATGCAAGCTGCCTCTTTGACAAACTGAAGAAGGAACCCGATGCGCTAACTCTCCTGGCCCCAGCTGCTGGAGACACAATCATATCTTTGGATTTTGGCAGCAGTGGTAGGTATTTTAGTTACTTGGTTATCACCTGAACTATGAATGTTGCTGAAAGGCCATTTTAAGTGAACTTGGCTGTGCTGTCTATTGGTTAACATTGGTACATGATTACACATTTCTTTTACTCATTTTGAAAGTATTTGTTTCAAGCTTTTCTTTAGGGATTGTTGGGTTTTATGCTTCAAAATGCCCTTGAGGTATTTCTTCTCACTTTCATTTTTCCCAACTGCTTTACTTTTATATCTTGCTGTCAGATTATCTTCACTACAGGTACAGCTGCATTAAAGCATAAACTGTGGTAACATACCTTCACACACTGAGAATGAAAATTGTATAATTTCAACCTAGGTTAAACCTTATAGGGGGATAAATTCAAGGTCTTTTACTGCCATATAGATTAAAAACCGGTCCACTGTAAAAATTTATCTCGCATCTGTAAATGGTCTGATTAAAGAAACTTTGGATTAGATAAAGCTTTTGTAGAAAAAGCACAGTGCTCCATATGTCATGATCTCTGTGCTTTACATTAACTAATGCTTTTTTTCCCACAGACACAGAAACTGAACAACAAGAGGAAGTCCCATTATATAATGATGTAATGTTCCCCTCATCCAATGAAAAGGTGCAGAACATTAACTTGGCAATGTCTCCATTGCCTGCTTCTGAATCTCCAAAGCCGCTTCGAAGTAGTGCTGACCCTGTACTCAATGAAGAAATTGTATTGAAATTAGAACCAAATCCAGAGTCACTAGAACTTTCTTTCACCATGCCCCAGATTCAAGATCAGCCAGCAAGCCCTTCTGATGGAAGCACCAGACAAAGTTCACCTGAGGTAGGGATCATGATACAACAGAATAACCTTCAGAGCTTAACATTCAGGAATGTATTTGTAAGTCTCATTCAGATTTTAATTGGGGCAACATGTTATTGTGTGGAGGTGGGCGGAGAGACACACACACACCATTGCACATGTTTTCAGCTCAAAGATAGGAACGTGGGAAGCAGCTGGTTGAATAGTAATCGAAAGGGAAAATTTAGGTTTATTCTCTCTCGATTCTAAATTCAAGGACTTTTGTCTTATTGATATAAGCATATAGAGAGATAACCTGTGTGTGTTCAAGATTGACTTATTCTCAGGGTGTAAATGGGAAAGGACCTCAAGGTTTAAATTGGAAAAGTCTTCTCCCAATGTAGTTCAGTTTCTCTCCCTATTTTGAAAATCTGGGTTAACACCCAAGCAAGAAAATAGGGAGTATTGCGTAGAACTTAATAATTGGTCTTTTGTTCTAGTTCCATGTTGATATTAATGGGCCCATGAACACAGTAAAACCTGTTTTTAAAAGTCTAAGCTGGGTCAACACCAGATATGTTATTAGTTATTCTCCATATTTCTAAATCTAGAATGATTCATTCTTACAGTTTCTTGTGTCCAGAAATATACTTGGTAGCTGACAGATTAGATCCAAACATGGGAAAATTAGTCACAATTAATCCTTAGTAAGTGGCATATAATCTATATTATGTAAATAATATAGATTATGGTTAAAACAGCAGTAGGAGAGTAGAAGGCTTGGTATCTCATAATCTTCTGGAGAATATTTATAAATGATGTTGATTCACATACTAAAACATAGTATACTGACAAATTAGTTTCAGATGTAAGCTCCAAAATGTAACTTCTTATAGGTTTGACAAATTCTGACAAATGTGATGAACTTTTTTGTATTTCCTGAGTTCTGGTTGAAAATTCTAAGAACCATCAGAACCTATGGAACTTCTTAGAAGTTAACACATATAATTCTTCTTATAGCCTACCAGTCCCAGTGAATATTGCTTTGATGTGGACAGTGACATGGTCAATGTATTCAAGTTGGAATTGGTAGAGAAGCTTTTTGCTGAAGACACAGAAGCAAAGAATCCATTTTCTACCCAGGTACACAAACTTCTTTACTTTATGTTAAGTTTTATTATTAGTTTTAAATCTGAAATGGCTTTAACTTGCTCATTTTACAAAATGAAGCCTCTGTAAAATCTCATGTATGTATTATCTTAAAGGACACCGACTTAGACCTGGAGATGTTAGCCCCCTACATCCCAATGGATGATGACTTCCAGTTGCGGTCCTTCGATCAGTTGTCACCTTTAGAAAGCAGTTCTACAAGCCCTCAGGCTGTGAGCGCAGTGACAGCATTCCAGCAGACTTCGATGCAAGAACCTGCCACTAACACTGCCACCGCCACTGCCATCGCCAAGGAGGTGAAAACAGAGACAAAAGACAGTTTGGAAGACATTAAAGTGCTGATTGCATGTCCATCTCCTACCCACATACCTAAAGAAACTGCTAATGCCACAACATCAGCACCATACAGTGATACTCAAAGTCGGACAGCCTCACCAAACACGGCAGGAAAGGGGGTCATAGAACAGACAGAGAAATCACATCCAAGAAGCCCTAACTTATTATCTGTCACGTTGAGTCAAAGGTATGTATACGTAGCACTAAAATTGTAGAAGAACTTTAGAAGAAATGCAGGTGAAACTAAAGGACTTCTAAACACACATAAAACGCTCTAATCTGTATGCAAGCACCATGGTTCTATATGGGCGCTGGTTCGGTTCCTATCCAGTTCCCTGCTTGTGGCCTGGGAAAGCAGTGAAGGCTGACCCAAAGCTTTGGGACCCTGCACCGGTGTGGGAGACCTGGAGGGAGCTCCTAGCTTCAGATCACCTCAGCTCAGGCCATTGTGGCTATTTGGGGAGTGAGCCAGTGGATCGAAGATCTTTGTCTCTCCTCTCCATAAATCTGGTCTGCCTTTCTAGTAAAAATAAGTAAATCGTTCAACAAAACAAACCATAAAATTAACCTCTTAATTCTGCATTTGAAACAGGCATTCAACTGTTTCTACATTTCCTTATATATTGTCTCACAAACACACCACATAACTAAATGTAGGAAGTGAAGGGGGTCTTCTCACACCTTTAAAAACAGGTAAAAAGCTGTACACATGTGTAAGCATTGGCCAGACGCACTTCTTGAGTTGTCTTAATCGGAGTGTAACTGTCCTTAATGCTTCCAGCCCTTTTCACCTGAGGAAAAGTTCTTTTAACCCATCCCATTCCAAATTGAGTACAATATGATCTTTAATCCTTAATGCTGAAAATAAACATTTACAGGCGCTTTTTAAATTTTAAGATTTGATTTTTTTTTTAATTGGAAATGCAGAATTTAGAAAGACCTTCCATCTGCTGGTTCATTTCCCCAAGCGGCCACAACAGCCAGAGCTGAACCAATCCAAAGCCGGGAGCCAGGAACCTCCTCCAGGTCTCTCATGCAGGTGCAAGGTCCCAAGGCTTTGGGCCATCCTCAACTGCTTTGCCAGGCCACAGGCAGGGAGCTGGAAGGGAAGTGGAGCATCAGGGACAGAAATAGGTGCCCAAGTGGATTATGGTGCTTGCAGTAGGGAGGATTAGCCAATTGAGCTATCATGCCAGGCCCTGTGTATCTTAAAATTGCTTTTATTTTCACTGCATATTTATAGAATCTTAACTGTATTGTAGATTAAATAATTTATAGCTATAAGTGATACCAGAGATGTGGGCCTGGTCTGTGACATTGACTTTATGGAATGAAGCGACTTCATTCAAGGCTTTGAGCTATCCTTCACTGCTTTCCCAAGCCACAGCAGGGAGCTGGCTGGGACACAAACCAGAGCCCGCGTGGGATCCGGTGTGTGCAAGGCGAGGAGTTAGCCACCCAGCCCGTCTTAGTGTGTGCAAGACAGGCCTGATTTCTTTGTTCATGTGCCTAGACTGCATCGGCTATCAGCAGCAACACACAGGAAGTACTGCCATGACTTAGGGCATGAGAGGCTTTTTCCCTAAGCTAGGAAAGGGATCATTTCACAAGTACTTCATAAACTACTGTATCACCAACTGATTTGATATTCCACAGTTCACAGTGTCTTGGGCATCTTAGGTACTAACTTAACTCATGTGGTATTTCCCCAGTGAATGACTGTTGGAGTGACAGGTGAATGAATACAGTAACATAAATGGCAGTGACCTGTAACTTACAGTTGATTAGCTTCAGAGAATGGGATATTCAGTTTTCTAAACAGCTGTTCCCTAAACTATACTATATATCAAGCCACTTCAGCAACTTTCAAAAAGACTCTTTTCAGTTGCAGAATAGCATGCACTAAAGAGTTTCAAGAAATTGACTTTCAAAAATGTAGGTAGGCTTTTTTCCCCACATCTCTAAATAATTATTAGAAAATCAAACTGTTGCACAAACTGGATAACTTACATAGCTCTAGAGCAAGAATTAAAAATGAATCTTTGAAAATAACTACTACCGGGCCTGGCAGTGTGGCCTAGCAGCTAAAGTCCTCGCCTTGAACGTACCGGGATCCCGTATGAGTGCCAGTTCTAATCCTGGCAGCTCCACTTCACAGCCAGCTCCCTGCTTGTGGCCTGGGAAAGCAGTCGAGGATGGCCCAAAGCTTTGGGACCCTGCACCCATGTGGGAGACCAGCAAGAGGTTCCTGGCTCCTGGCTTTGGATCAGCATAGCATTGGCCATTGCGCTCACTTGGGGAGTGAATCATCGGACGGAAGATCTTTCTCTCTGTAAAGAAGAAGCCCCAGCCTATAGTTAAAAAAAAAAAGAAAAGAAAATACTACTACCAAGATGATATTTACATGCTAGGCTGACTTACATCTCATAGATACTAAATGTATATGTATATAAGTGTGTATCTATGTTTGTTTTTATTGTTTGTGTGTGTTTCTACTTTTAAAAACACAGACCTGCATATGGGAGAGCAGTAGGGTAGTACAGCCAGCACCCTCACGGCTTCCTTATCTAGAAGACCCAGGGTCATGATGACTTGTTGGGGATAGGATGGATATTCTTGGAAGGCCAAACGAAACACAATTGCTTTGACTCATTATAACCATTTTTCACTATTTAATATTTTAAATACAGAGGTCAGAGATGATGCACCGGGTAAAAGAGCAGAGTGGCAAGGTCATTGGAAAGAGCGTATTTGGAGAATGAGCAAATGTGACCAACTAGCAGTGAAACTGAGCAGAGAGGCCCGAGTTTCTCCTTTATAAAATGGTTGTGATATACTTGCCTTCCCAGCTTGGAAACTTAATGATGTTTCAATTGACTGAAGAAGATGAAATGTGTTAATAACAAAATAATGCTCAAATGTGAATAATTTTCATTTTAGTCTGAGAATATTATTGCATTAGTAGAATGAAATGCTGATATATAACTATTTTCAATGTATAGTAATGTTGATTTAGTTCTGTTCAATTCTGTTTTACAGTAAGGATTGCATAGTCTAAAAAATATTGTTTTAAAAATTGAGCTTTTGCTTTAAGATTGATAGAGCTGTAGTAATCACAAAATTTTTCTTAACATGTAATACAACAGTCCTCAGTGTTGGAAAATTAAAGCATTATGTATTACATCTGAAAGAGCTCATTGGATATTTTTAAAGCTAGTAAAATAACTTGTTTACTGAAAATGATTAATTTTTTTCCTAGAACTGCTGCTCCTGAAGAAGAACTAAATCCAAAGATAATAGCTTTGCAGAATGCTCAAAGAAAGAGGAAAATGGAAAATGATGGCTCGCTTTTTCAAGCAGTAGGAATTGTAAGTGTGGCATCAATTGAATGCTTTTCTCTGCGACCTAAATGTGCTATTTCTGAGTTAGATGAGGGCAATTTCTTATTTCTTCTGACATTGTTATATTTTCAGAAGTCATACTGTACAGACATTGAATGAATACGTTCTTAATCCAAGCAATAAAGATGAATGTTGTAAGGATTCTCCCCTTATTTCAGCCTTAGCGTCATTAGGTTACTTCCCCTTACTAACTGAACCACTATGTTTTGGGGAAGTTAGGCTGGCGTACTAGACACTGATATTTTCAGACTTATAGAAGGATTAAGAAAGTATCTGTAGACAGACTAGATATCATGAACAACAGTGTAACCTAGGTAATCAAAGGATGGCATTAAACTGATTTCAAAGTGTTTGCCTCAACATACTAAAACTGAAATCACGTCACTGCTTTTAGGGGACATTATTACAGCAGCCAGATGATCGTGCCACTGCTACATCACTTTCCTGGAAACGTGTCAAAGGATGCAAATCTAGTGAACAGAATGGAATGGAGCAAAAGACAATTATCTTAATACCCTCGGGTTAGTACATTCTTTCTGCTCTTGAACATCACGATTAAAGTATGTGAAACTTTCATACATTTTCTTTAAAAAAAAAAAAAAGGATTTTAAACTTTATTAAGAGCTTTATTCCAAGTGAGAGTGATGTTTCATTTCCTTAGCAAAATTAAAAAGTAAAGTAGGTTTACCTAACAGCTATAAAGCAGGAATGGATATTTCAGGATGAAACTTTCCATCATAAAGTCTTATGCCTTTTTCTGAGTGAAATGTCACTTTTATGTGCCTTCACTGGATGCTGTAAACACATCCGACATCTGATTGTACGTGTCTCTTCACGTCGCTGTGCTTTTTGCCCAGTCGACCGAAAACCTTTCCAGAGGTTGCCTGCTTCGTTCCTGCCAGCACCTAGCCTGGAGAAGTGGGTATGCAGTACATTAACAACTACTTACATGTTTGCTTGTGTTGCAGATTTGGCATGCAGACTGCTGGGACAGTCCATGGATGAGAGTGGATTACCGCAGCTGACGAGTTATGATTGTGAAGTTAATGCCCCTGTACAAGGAAGCAGAAACCTACTGCAGGGCGAAGAATTACTCAGAGCTTTGGATCAAGTCAACTGAGCTTTTTCGTAATCTCATTCCTTTTTTGGGACATTGGTGGCTCATTACCTAAAGCGGTCTATTTATATTTTCTATATCTAATTTTAGAAGCCTGGCTACAATACTGCACAAACTCAGCTCAATTTTGATTCCCTTTCTCCCTTTCTACTTATAATTTACAATAATGCTCTTTTTTTTTTTTAAAGTATATTCTTTATTGCCAGATCACAGCACATTTTCACAGGTCTTTGGAAGTTAAATCATTGCATTGCAGTAGCATCATTTTAAAATGCACCTTTTTATTTATTTATTTTTGGCTAGGGAGTTTGTCCCTTATTGAATTATTTTTTAATAAGAAACCAATATAATTGTTTAAAGAAGGCAGTAACCTTTCATCATGATCACAGGCGGTTGAAAAATTTTTACTCAGTTTTTCACACCATGTTTTACGTAAACAGTAATGCTTTGCCAGCAGTACATAGTAGCCACAATTGCACAATATATTTTCTTAAGAAAAAGAAAAACCAGCAGTTACTCATGCAATATATTCTGCATTTATAAAACTAGTTTTTAAGAAGAAATTTTTTTTTGGCCTATGAAATCGTTAAACCTGGAACATAACATTGTTAATCATGTAACAATGAATCTTAAGTGCTGTATGGTTTATTATTTAAATGGGTAAAGCCATTTACATTATATAGAATGATATGCATATATCTGGAAGGTATGTGGCATTTATTTGGATAAAATTCTCAATTCAGAGAAATGATCTGATGTTTCTGTAGTCACTTTGCCAGCTCAAAAAAAAAAAAAACCATACCCTATGTAGTTGTGAAATTTTATGCTAATATTGTGTAATTGATATTAAACCTCAATGTTCTGCCCACTCTGTTGGTATAAAGATTATTTTGAGCAGTCTGTAAGCAACAACAACAACAAAAAATCATGCATTGTTAGCAGAATTGCCTAGTATGTTAAATTGCTCAAAATATGATGTTTGGTTTTATGCACTTTGTCGCTATTAACATTGTTTTTTTCATATAGATTTCAATAATTGAGTAATTTTAGAAGCATTATTTTAGGGATATATAGTTGTCACAGTAAACATCTTGTTTTTCTATGTACATTGTGCAAATTTCTCATTCCTTTTGCTCTTCGTGGTTGGGTCTAACACTAACTGTATTGTTTTGTTACGTCAAATAAACATCTTCTGTGGACCAGGTCCCTTTGATCAGCTTTTATATTTAACATTATTTGCTTCAGCAACTCCAGTTCATAAAATTATTTAAAAGCTTTATGAAAATTGCATTGTACATTTCTACATTTATCTCATTTATCTCATCGCGTTGGTGTGTGCTGTATTCCTAAATGCCATGTGAAGTCATAACAAACCGTAATCGTGCGCTGTAAAGAGTATGTTTTTAGAAAAAGAAAGCCTGTCATTTATAAGTTGATGAGCCTACTAATGTATAAAACACATGGTCATGTGATGTAAGGGCTAGAAGTTCCTCTGAAGGTTTCCAATCTGTTGCCATTACCAGATGAATCAACTTGGACCACCACCGACCGTGAGATCCCTGCACAAGTTCTAACCAGATTTAACTGGACGTCTTCAAATTAACATCAACTTTAGAACTAACTTTGGTTTTGTAGTTCTCAGACATTTTAAAATAGATTTTCTCCTGTGTTTTATTCTTTCAAAAACACAGACATATTTCTTTTGTGGTTACAAAGCAAATTAACTACAATTATAATTTCTAGAAAACTATAGAAAAGATAGAAAACAGTAAATGGACAAATCCCTGTGCCTGAGTAACAGATGTTCCTGGACAAATGGCAGAGGCAGAGCAACAGCCTTGGGCCTTGTGGTCTGGTACGTGTGTATCCTGAACGCGACAAACCTCTTAGATGCCTGTTAGTACCAAGCACGTGAGTACAACTTCATGGAAGCTTTCCAAGATCCCAGTCTTAAGATACCACACTTCCTGTGGCGCAGGCACACTTCACCCCAAATAGACAGAAGTGTTGCAGTACATTTAGTTACAGCCGTAACTAATAGTGAGGCTTTAGAATTAAATAGTTGCTTAAAATCCTCAGGTCAAATCCAGAATTGTTTGTTGGTTTAAAAATTTGCTTCGATTGAAAATTAAGTTTATGCAGAGTTTTCAAATATAGGCAAGTGAGCAAATTATGCAGCGGCCAGGAGTCTGAACGTTACCTGAAAGTAAGGATTTCAAAGAGAAGGCTGTAATAAAGGACAGTGGAGGTGGAAGAAACCAAGTAACCACTGCTTAGCCATCAGAAAACCAGCCATGTGGACTACCACCGGCTGCTCATGCCCAGCACGTGGCACCTCCGTTAGTGTAGACTGCCCTGACTCGGCATCTCACCCGAGGCTAGCAACTGAAATGCCCTAACAGCCATTCCCGCCGCGGCAGTCCCGTCCTGGCCCAGGCCTGTCTGCACCCCTCCTCAGTACTGCTAGCAGTACACGACTACATTTTGGCCAATGCGATAAGCATTCCCATTTACACTTACAGCAGGTGACTTAATTACCCAGATTGCCTATGGCTGCTAGGTTAAGTTGATATGACTCTGACATTTGCCGAGTATAGTGACTCTGAAGCATTTTCCATACTCTAGAAATTAATTTAAAAATATTTTTTATTGCAGAGTCAGATAAAGAGGAGGACCTTCCATCCAATGGTTCACCCCCCAAGCGGCTGCAACGCCTGGAGCTGAGCTGAGCCGAGCCAATCCGAAGCCAGGAGCCCAGAGCTTCCTCTAGGTCTCCCACACAGGTGCAGGGTCCCAAGGCTTTGGGCCGACTGCTTTCCCAGGCCACAAGCAGGGAGCTGGGTGGAAAGCAGAGCTGCCAGGACAAAACCAATGCCCATATGGGATGCTGGCACGTTCAAGGCGAGGACTTTAGCCACTAGGCTACTGTGCTGGGCCTTATGGAAACCTTTAAAAAAAGGCCAGTAGGATGGCTCAACTGGCTAACCCTCCCCTCTGAAAGCGCCAGGATCCCATATAGGCACCAGTTCATGTCTCTGCTGCTCCACTTCCCATCCAATTCCTTGCTTATGGCCTGGGAAAGCAGTGGAGGATGGTCCAAAGTTTTAGGACCCTGCACCCACTTGGGAAACCCAGAGGGAGCTCCTGGCTTTGGACTGGCTTAGCTGTTGTGGCCATTTTGGGGAGTGAACCAGCAGATGGAGAATCTTTCTGTCTCCCCTCCCTGCAAATCTGTCTTCCATATCAACATTCTTTAAAAAAAAAAACCAGCCTATGACTTCTTGCAGGTGCCTCACTTTGTAGATGAGACGGCCTGGGAGGCGGCCATCAGTGATTCCAGAGCCTGGTCTGTGAAGCCCTGTGCTGGAAGAGACCCCTTCTCCCCCAACTGTTAACTTGGGACAGCAGAAGGGGAAATAAACAAGGGAACTCGTGGAGGAGAGGAGTCAGATATTATTTGAAAGTCGTGAAATGACCCTGGACCCTGAGAGTGGCAGGACAGAAACAGGAAGGAATAAAACGGGTTGAAGGGCTGCGGAGCGGGGAATAGAGTTTGAATCGGGGAAGCAGCTCTCTGACCAGGCGACACGCGCTGCCTGGTACCCGAGAGATGATACCTGTCACTGCGATTAGGGGTCTCCCCGTGCTGCTTGGCCTAATGTCGTAAGACATGTTCATTCTAAGTCTACACCCCCACGGTTACCATCCAAATCGGGGTTTCTTCCTACAAACCTCTGACACCTAAATTCTCTGAGGAATTTAAGGTTACCATCAGCTGGCACCAAAAGTAATGGGAAGAAAAAAGCCACTTTTTGTTTTCTTCTAAACTGTGCCACTCACTTACTTTGCTCTATTTCTGCCCTTGGAATAAGGCGGAACCTGTTATCCCAGGGCATTTTACAGAGAATTTAGCCCAATCTGCAGACAGGGAACAAGCCGCGGTGAAGGAAAAGCTACCCTACACCACAGACCTTCCCAGGAACACCTGCTGGGGGCTCTGGGGTTCACACCTGCTGGGGGCTCTGGGGTTCACACCTGCCGGGGGGCTCTGGGGTTCACACCTGCCGGGGGGCTCTGGGGTTCACACCTGCCGGGGGGCTGCACGTCATTTGTATTCTTACCTGTGACGGGTGATTCTCTCCCAGCCGCTGCCCAGACACCGACCTCCGTGTACTATTTCCTTTATTCCGGGACCGAAAGACAGGTGCCTGCGAGCGGCAGCGATGAGACCTTGCGAGCGAAGAGCACCCGGCGGCCGGCCGGCGCGGCGGCTGCCACCGGAGAAAGAGGCGCAAGTCGAGCCTCCGGGAGACACGGGTTCGCGCCCCGCCCGCCGCGCGCCAGGCTCCGCCCCGGTACGTGCTCGGGCGCAGCACCGCACCCGGGGCCGGCCGGTGCGCGCACGGGGCCGGCTGCCCGCGGCTCCCGCGTACGTGTTGGAGCGCACGTGGGCGCCCGGCGCCGTGGCCTTTGTCTGTAGTGCCTGGCGGGTCAAAGTCTGAGCGAGCCCTGCCCGGAGGCGTGCGGGCGTGGGACCCCCGGCGTCGCCAGGTGTGCGGGCGCCGCCCTTGCTTGAGCAGCGGTTTCCGGAGAGACCTGGCCTTGGTCAGCTGCCCTGTTACTCCCAAGCTGTCCAGCCGAACCAGAGGGGTCCCAGAAACACCGATAGAGTCCCGGAAGACCCGCAAACAGTTCTTGATTCTAAACGCATTTTGAAATCTGCCCGCTTTGGCATATCGGATCTCCTACGGGCAGATTTTTCTTTTCTCTTGTCTCTTTCCTTGCTTCTTTTTCTCGATTGCTTTTGGTTTGTTTTGTTTTGCTTGAATTTGTTGTGTGTCAGCTATGGAGTGTCCTTTTGGGGAAGATAATCCTGATGGACAGGAAGGAAGTGAGTTTTAAGAAATAAAGAACAACTTTATTTAAAACAAATAAATGGAATGGCCTGTGGTTAGTGTAAGGTTGCATAGTTTCACTGTAAAACTATGACACCAGATGTTGCTTAGAATGAATAACGTCACACGCGGCTGTTAGTCCCAGATCACCGTTAACAGGAGTCGGGACAGGCTGTGGGGAGAGCTTGGCAGGCTGTGGCCACACTCCTAGGCTGCCGGTTGTGCATTTGAACTAAAATGCTAACGGATGTGAGCTGCAGCACGGAAGTCAGAGCAGCCAGCGCGGGCTGGGAGGTGCAGGTGTGGAAAGCTGTCAGTGTGTGCCCTTCTGTGAACCCGACAGCTCAACTTCCTCACTTTTTAACTTCTTTTCTTCGTTTTTTTATTCCTTCCTTCCTCTCTCTGTTTCTTCCAAGATCTGTTTATTTTCATTTGAAAGGTAGATTGTCCATCTGCTGGGTTCTCTCCCCAGATGGCCACAGTGGCTGCAGTGGCTGGAGCTGAGCTGTTCAGAAGGCAGGAGTCTGGAGCTTCTTTGGGGTTCCCCACGTGGGTGCAGGGGCCCACGGACTTGAACCATCCTCTGCCGCTTTCTAAGACCGTTAAGTGTGGAACTAGGTTGGAAGTGGAGCAGCGGGGACAGGAACCAGAGCTGGTATTAGATGCCAACGTCACAGTGGCATTACAACACAACACCAGCCCCTCTCTTTGGCCTTCTGTGATCATTTACGGGCAGTTCTTCCTCCCCTCTTTCAAACACATTCTCTGCTCCATGATGCATCTTGGTTGTTCTACTTCGCTGAAGGTGTGAAGGGATCCTGTGTGTGATGCAGAGACCAGAGAATGACCATCAGAGGAAGAGAAGAGGGGAACATCCATTTTCTGGCTCCTCTGGGGACGTTCATCCAGTCAACAATTAAGGCGGAGTGAGTGCGAGGTAATGTTCCAGAGACTTCTGGATGATGTACAGGTTCTAGAACCTGGTGGCTTCGTTAAGCTGTGGTCACTTCCCGTTCTGTGAGGTGCTCACGCATTCGGGTGTCATTGCGCAAGCGTCGTTAAAGGGCAAGTAGACTGTTTATTGGCCATTTCAGTTGTTCTAAGCTGCCATGACCGTTCCTTTACCTGCTGTCTGCAGGCTAGTTATCCGTGCCCCAAACCTCAGCCCGCAGGTGTCATCCCCATTTGGCTTGGCAGAAACTCCCTGCTCCAGGCTGGGATGTGCTGCAGCCCGTGCAGGTGCCTCTTGGAATGCCTGCTTCCAATCTGGACTGCCTCCCGAGTCCCGACTCTGCTTCCAATTC